ATTTAAGAAACTTTGGAATTGATTTCGGGTTAAACGAAATTTTCATAAATTTAAATAAAATCACGAGAAATCTAAAAAGTTTGGTGTATTTATTTAAATTTAACAACTTATTATTTCGATTTTAATACAATCTATTCACTTTATCTTTACGTCTGTGACATGATTGAATAGTGTCAAATAAAATCCAACACATATGACATTCTTTATTATATAGTTTTTTTAGTATTCACAATATCTAATTTACGGTGTTTAGTAACACTATAAATATGATAGAAATTGTGTACACAATTTCTATGTATATGAATATATATGTATATATGTATGTACATATGCCATTTAAGTAAGCATTTCTTAATAGAAAAGAGATCAATTTAAAAGATTTCTCTCTTTTGGTTTCGAATAAACTTTAATAATAATCACAATTTCTATTTCGATAATCTTATATATTATCTTCTCATCCTAGTTTCAGACACAATTATAACTTAAATATGATAAATTTTTGATTAACCACTTTTTGTTATTTATTATACAAAAACTACATACATATGTATTTGCTTTCATACATTAACAGAAGTTCTAAATTTCTTTATATTTATTTGTTGAAGGATCATTACTGGATCTGATAACTAACTTACGAATATTGAAAGAAACTTAGGCAACTTTATCTTTTACTCGTATGAGTATGTATATATACCTATACTATAAATTACAATTTTGTATTAAATACAATTTTTTTCTTAAATGTATAAATTAAAAGTTAGCTTTATAAATCTCGAGAAACTCGTATATAAATGCATTTTCTTGTGGCCATCTTCAAAATCTAGAATAGCACAGAAAGGAAGATAAAACTTGTTTCTTGTTTACTGGACATTGGAAATTTAAAATTAATTTACGATTTTGTAATAAAATATACAACTTATGACTTTAAAAGAAAGATTGTATTCTTGACTACGTAGTAATTTTTCCATTTGTAAGTTTATAATTTTTCTTTAAAAAGCATCATGTTTTATATAATTAATATAAATGTTTAAACAAAACTTAAATTGAATTAAGTGTACACAATTCAATTATTTAATATACGAGTATGTATAAAATATTCCATTTTTTATTGTATTCATCAAACTACAGCTACAATTAAGTTGACCTATTTTTTAGATTGCCTATGAAACTTTGTGATTGGTGAAATAGCGAAAATCCCAAAGCAAATTAAAACTTTGTTGTCTCAAATTATACTTTGTTTCGCGAAACAAAGTTTTATTATGTCAAAGTGTGACAATTATAACTATCCTTTCGATGATACGCACCATATTTTACTTTATAACTACAAATAGCGAGATGTATGATCAATTATTATAGAAGGACGAAGACTATGTTAATACTCGTAGTAATATTAATTGGAATGGGAAGTATGTATCAATGATTTTTCTGCTACTTTCAACAATATGGTCAGATCAAGATAATATCTACTCATCATAAATAACTCGATCTTTAACAGAACAAAGACCGTACAAAAAAACTATACCTGTTTAAAAAATGTGAGGAAGAATATAATAATCGATCCTTGCTAGCGATCAAGAAGTGCCAATTATAATGCCTTATAATTTATATAGTTTTAATCTTAACCTACATCTCTACACCATCTGCTAAGAGCAGCCCAGTAACAGTAGTTTGGGCTCCAAATCACTGGAAATATAAGAAATACATCGGGAACCACTTTCACCCTCAAATTTTCATAAGAATCCTAACTACCTAATTGATTTCATTGTTCCTTTATAACCTACTTAGAAGAGACAAACCTCCTCAGCATTCTATAGACTAATCGTGGACTTTTACAGTGTCTGGGACTTGATGGCCAGGCTAGACCCAGGTGACTCCTTTTCTCACCTTCACCTCCAAGCTCCTCTCACTACCTAACCAGATTTGAAACGAAACCATTATTTGGTCTTCTAAGGAAAAATTTTGTTATAATGTTTTTTCTTCTGATAATATTTACATTACCCACTTTTCATATCATTTGAATTTCCAATCTCATGCAGGAAATTGTAAATCTCATAGATTTAATTGCGGCTAACCGCATGCAAAACAATTTTATACAGATGTGTTACACAATCCTTTTACTTCTAGAATCTTTCACAGTTACCTTAATTATTTTTTCTACTTTCCCTACTTTAATTACCTTCTTCACATAATGTATCAAAAGGTCTTGTATAATTCTCTGTTCTGAGATCACTGAATTAACTTTCCATGTTTTCAAGGGGCGTAATATCAATAATTCTGTGTTCCGATATTTCAACTTCCTCATTATGTGAACGAATCTGAATTTTCTGCCATTGCGAATAAAATTAAAATTGTCAGCACCGAACGAACAAACAATTTGTGTACAATATTAATTAGCAATAAAGTGACAGGTTAACTCAAAATCAGTTTGATAACATCGAGAGTCGAAAATGTACATTTATACTCATGACCTCCTTAACAGATATAAATACTTAATAATATGTAAGATTTACATACTTGCTCTCGTATAAAATATATTTTCTATTTATCTTGGTAATAATATTAGTCAGTTCAAAAAAATATCTTTAGTATTATTGTACTAGTATAGCGTTTTATATAAAACTTTTGAGAATTAAAAAAATGTTCGGACCAACTGATATGTTTTGTATGTAACGATAGTTTTATCTTACGATAGTGTTGGTCTTTATACAAATGAGACGTAATCTTGTTCAGTAATGAAGGCAATAACAATGTCGTTTATTATCCCATTATTGCAGTTTTTTTACTCCTATATAGTTTTTTATTTCCCGCTATAATTAAAAAATAAAACATGATATCAACAGCACATTTTATAAAAAAATTATACAAAATAATAACATCATCATCATCATCATCATCAGCCTATCAGAGCCCACTGCTGATCAAAGGCCTCTTTCTCGCATGGAGAAGGTTTGAGTATTAATCACCACGCTTGTTCAAGACGGGTTGGTGATTTCAAAATTATAAGTATTGTGAAACTATAAGTCCAGGTTTCCTCACGATGTTTTCCTTCACCGTATGTCAATGGTGTCTACATACTCTCAGAAAGTATATATGACTCCGAAAAATCACATTGGTACTTGCCAGGTTTGAACCCGCGCCCTCGGCAACGAGAGGCGGGCCCTTTAACCACTAGGCCACCACTGACTTACAAAATAACAGGGTATGCATAATGTTTTACTTTTTCGAAGGAAAAACAAAAGTATTTTTTATTTATAAAAAGCAAGCTTCTATTTACATGTTATAATAATAACTTAAAACGAGATCAAATTACATTAATTATATTAAATTTCGTCACAACTTAAAGCATATATTTACGAAATTTTTATCTACACAGTTAAATATATTTTTAAATACTACATCATTAAAAATTGTGTAATAAAGTTATGATTTGATAGTAAAGGTTTTGATAACTTTAAGCGCATTTATTTAAAAACTAACTTGAGAGTTTTATATTTGACATTATATTTTTACTCATAATACAGCAGTTATTTATATTTAAAGTTTATCATTTGGATGTTCCGTATAGTCACAGTAAAAATTATTTCATAAAGCTAACCATGTATTTTCATTAAAAACTGAGCGGGTGGACAAAATTTATGTTAAAAAGTTAATGATATGTGCTTTAAAATTGTATTTAAATTCCACCTGAACAAACAGTTGTGACATACAACCCTGTCAACGTATGAATGGGCTCTGGAAATAATATAGTTTTACCACAAATTTAAATAGGAATATTTTTTATTTAAAAAATATATACTTATTGAGTTATATAAAATCTTTACAAAAAAGTTTTTTTTTGTCTTTACGGATTCAAATAATTATGCTTTATTATTTCTGAAATCATGATAATTGAATATACGTAACTTATTTTATTTAACTGATTTGAGATTACTCGTAGTTTTGATTATAAGGATTTTCCTTATTTATATTTTACAAAACATACACTACACTATACTACCCCTTTTTTTTAATGTCACAAGGAAACTCTTTTTACGAGCCGTCCAACTGGCCTTGGTGGGACCGGAAGGGAAGTGTGAGACTCGACTTGGGCAGGCCCCTACTCACTAAAACCACTGCGAAAGCCATCGGCCGCTATGTTGGTGTACCCCGGATCTGTCACCTACAGGGTACACCAGCGACTGGGCGATCCTGGCAAAGACCGGACAGTATATAACCCCTGTAAATACTATTGAATATAGCAATATTTTAGATATTTAAAACAGAGCAGAGTTCGATTAGGATTTAAAGGACTCTTGAAAATCTCCAATTCAACTTTTTAAGTAATGAAAATATAGATATTAAAAATTATGAGTTATTGAGGTAGGTTAGGATAAAATTTGTAATTACCTTTCGAAATAAAATAATTAAAACATTCAAATATATATCCCTTAAATATTTTGTTTTATATTAAAATCATAATGTATTAACAAGAAGAAATTTTAATTGCAAAATGTTTTCAAAGACTTTACACATATGAACGAATTTATTCACAAACTCATTATAATAGAGTTACAGAATAGAGTTGATGTAGTCATTGCAACATTTTGTGAAAACAAAATTATCTAAGCTCTTATTATCACATATTTAAAAAACATATTGGTAAGACTCAAAAATATTAAAGATATTTAATATAACTTCTTATCGAAGTATAAATAAGAAAGTATTTTCATAAGGTCTTTAATAATTATGTTGTATAAAAGCAATAGATTTTCAAGAACCGTATTAGCTATAAAAACCAATAGAAAATCGGCCGTAACTATACAAGCTTGACTGTGATTTTTTTCTGATGATCTCATTTGCATAAAATATATAAGTTATCGCTTTTTCATGAAATTTTTGGAAATTTGTATACATATAAGAATGTTTTTTCTTTTCTTTATTTCGATTTAAACGTTGGGGTTTACAAGACGAAACTTCTCAGCATTCCATGGATTCACCGTGCGGGTGCCGGGTCCATCGCGTTGCAGGGGGAGGAGCTTCAACAGTGCCTGGGACTTGCGACCCAAGTGTAGGTTTAAGGGGCCCCTTAACTAACGCGCGTTATACGCTCACCTCCACTGTCCAAGCTCCTCTCCCTTTTTTTTTTTTTTTTTCGTGCGCACTGGGAAAAAATGCTTTACGCATCCCCTCTCCGTTGAAGACGGAGAGGGGTATGTGGGACTCCCCGGGAAAAGGATTCCCGGTATACCCACTAAAATAACCCAGTGGCGCTCCGACCTCGCCTGACTGGCAGGGGGCTGGGAATCCTGTTTGCGTCCAGCCCCCTGCTGGCGATTGCCCACCTTCTGGCGGACCCCTCACGCCCCCCCAGGTGGGGGGGGGCTCTGTTGTGGCCGAAGCGCACGGCCATCTATGGCCGTCGCAGGGGCGGGTGAAGATGGACGCTGTGTGCGCCACCTTCCGCCCCTTCTCCTTCTACGGAGCGCTGGCGCTGAGGGATCGTCCTCGCGCTGCCGCTCCGCCGCCTCCTTCTGTGACATTACGTCCTCGCAGAAGGAGGCAACTGCAGTCCACGCCTCCTCACTCCCCAGCATGGCGGTGAATACACGAGGGAGCGAGAGGTCGCTCACCTCCACCGTCCAAGCTCCTCTCTCTACCTAACCAAATTTGAAAAGAACCTACTAGGGCTGCCTTCGATGTACGTTCCAAGAATGCATTAATGTGAGTTCTGGACAAGCCCAAGTCCTTTAGTAGGTTATAGAGAGATTTCGCTGTTATACCTCTCGCTCCCACCTCTACCGCGTACAAATCTACTACGAACCTATTTCGAGTGAGTTCGTTTGTGAGCTCGTAATATTTGTTGACCTTGATGGTATGGTCTTTGGGGATGTTGGTTTCCCAAGGGACCGTAAGCTCTAATATTTAATTTTATTATATGTATTATTCGAAAATAACTAATAAACAAGTCTGACACTAATGACAAACACGTTTAGTCTCAAATTCAGATATTAAAACCATATCTTAAGGATGCACTTGTTAAAAACTACACGTAAACTAACAGTCCAGTTCACAGAATAAACTAATGAACAAAATATGCGAAGTTTATAGGGAAAGTAATATTAGTTACTTTGTCTATTGATGCTTAAAATTCCGGTCAAAGTAAACAGATTGCTTTCTAAATCTTGTGAAATTTTATAAGAAGCTATGTTTTAAGAATAACTATGTATGTCCATACTAACAATGTTCTTTACATCGATTGTGCACTAGTTCAACCTTTGATTTTTACATGTAAGTTTTATTAAAGGCTTATTAGTTATTACAGTTCCAATCGATTATTATGCGTTTTCATAGGATGTCTTCGAGCCTTAAAGCTACTAGTACATACTAGTGCTAGTAGGCTGTATAATCTTTGGTGAGTTAGATTTAATAAAGTTAAATAATATCATTAACATTACAGAAAAAGAACGAAGTTGTATGAGTGATGGGTTCTATATCAAATTGCGACTTGAATTTTAAAAACACGCTATCTGTGACACCTTGATAAGGTTTTAGACTTGTTTAAATAAAAGAATACGATATTAATTGTAAATGTATTTAGTAAAGAACCTTTTCAGACGGACTTCATAATATTAAATTATTGGATATAATTATTTTTTTATTTAATTTGATTTAAAATTTATTTTGTCCTTTATAAGTCTTTGAAAGGTTTGTTATTTAATTATCATTATTCAATAAATTTGAAAATTTAACTGAGATTTTCTTCTTTTTGGAAATATTTTAATTTGATGCCCTGAAAACTCTCAGGGCTCCTACTACTACATATAACTCACAAACAAGCAACAAGATAGATTGGAAAAAATCAATATATTTTAAAAGAATAGTTTTCATAGTAATTTCAATAATTTTTATTATAGTTTTCTAATTGTCTTATCAAATTATTATACTACGAATAATATTTTTTTAGGTTAACTCATATTTTTTTTAATTATCCTGAGAGTTAAATTTCTATTAATTTAAGGACTGCGTTTGAAAACTTTACAAATTCTTTTTCTTTTCTATTATTCTTTTATATTATTTATTCTCTAATTGTATGGTTAAATCATGAAAGGTTAATTTATTTATTTAAAACTAGACAATCTAACTATATTTACTTGATATTGAAAGTGTGTGTGCCAGATATTTGAGATCAATTGTATACGTGAATAATTTCAATACTCTTTTTGGGCAACAAACAAAGTTTTCAGTGATATATAACAAACTCACAACTTGATTACACGAACGTGCATTCGTGCGTTCGTCAAACTACGTATCTCTGTAAAAGAGATTATTATATGTTTTTATGTAGTATACTCTTCCTTCGAGACGCGACTTGCGGACCTACATTTTATACTGTATACAAAGATACGATACATTCGTAATTATTTATAATAATAAAATCACAACCCTCCCCTTTGATTTATTAAAGTACGCTTAAATTAATTAGTTTTATAAAGATAAAAAAAATCTGTACTTTTGTATCGAGTCTTTCTACGAGTATTGCTCGTGAACTGTCAGAACAGTCGGAGCTCTGTTAATTTGGTAGCGTGAGTCATTTTAAAATAACTTTGTTAGATTCTGTGAGGTATCTATCAATCATCATTGTGTATTAGTGTCAGTAATAAACCTATTACTTTAGTCAAATTCATGACTTGATGATAAGAATTATTAAGTTATTCGTTTGTAAATAGTCGTTTTTTAGTTATTTATTCTTCCGAACCTAAAAATACAATAAACATCATTACAAGCCAGATTTATATTTAAGATACTGTAACCTCTCTTGTATCAATAAATCAGAATTATGAGAAAAGTTTACGTCAATCTGACAACTTATACATAATGCCAGAATTTTATGTTACCATAACTATTTACATGTTTATAATAATCTATTTCGTTAACCCCATTGTTCACGAATATGATGCAAAGTTGAAAAGTATGAAGTTCGATTTGAATAACAAATATAACACTCCAGCGAAACTTACTTACTCATCTAATATGTAGTTAGCAGCTTGGTGATTTGTGAACTCAAAACAGCTTTGTCACGGCTACATTTACGTGTTTCATATGCTTTTGTTACAGAAAATACCAATAATGATATATTTGAAGATATAAAAACTGTTCCAAAACTTATTGTTAGAACATATTCAGGAGCAGTGGCGATCCTGCCGTGCAAACTAAATGTTTCTAAATTATGGAATAAGCCCGTGAAATGGCTCTATAAAGTAAGATATTTAGTTATTTATAAACATATTTATTTACATTTAATCGATGACCTTTTTAGACAAATTATTATTATAAGCCAATTCAAGAGGATGATGGAATTATCACCGACTATAATCTTACTATTTATAATGTAAGAACAATTTACACCGGTGATTATCGTTGTTTGGCCGACGAACAACTAGGAGTAATTGTAACATTGGAAGTTATCGATGATGAACAATACAATGTAGTAAGTAATCACTATAATCATGTTTGTTTTCATAGTTTTTATTTAAGACTTAAACGTATAATATATATTTTTAAAGGTTAAACCAGCGACTTCAAAAGGTCCATACCCAATGAAACCAGTTTATTTAAACCCTTTTTTGGTAATGTTTAGTGTTTGGTCCGAGTGGAGTGAGTGTAGTCAATGTGGTGCTGTCGGCAGGAGAAGGAGATATGGCATGTGTTATGTGTCTCGTATAAACGAGGTGATTTCAATTAATAAAACTTTATTATATAACTAGAAGACCTGGCGAACTTCGTATCGCCCTATAATCAAGAAATATCTATTAAGTTTTTTTATTTATATTTTTGGAGTTTACCTGTAAGCCATAAATCTCCGTATTTTGAAGTGCGACAGAATGATTGACATATTAGTTAGTTGTCAAATCTAATGTCAAAAAAAACGTTTGTATGGGAAATAGAAAAAGGCTGTTTTTATGATTTTCCCAGTAATGAATCAATTTTTTTCAGCTTTTATACTTTCCCTGAACCTCCACAAACATTTCAAGACTAAGATAAGATAAATCCGTTCAGCCGTTCTCGAGTTTTAGCGAGACTAAGGAACAGCAATCCATTTTTATATATATAGAAGATAGAAGATAATTAATTTCAATATTTCATAGAATATTTCATACAACTATCCATAACCAAAATTTTAGACATTATATATCATAGTTTTTCTAATTTATTCTAATTTTGGCCAATTCCAGTATAAAACAACATTTAAATCAAACATGTCTAACAGTGACGAGGAAAGTTCAAAACTATTTGAAGGTACGATTGATCTTAACTCTAATTACTGATGTTTCCTCTTTCATAACTGACTCGTTAATTGTAAGCCTTAAAACAAAAACAATTGTAACATTTAAAACCGCATGCCCTTTATGTTTAATAAATTATTTGCTGATTTAATAAAAAATTATGAGCATTTAACTTGTTGTGATAACCTTGAATAATAGAAATAAAAAAAATATTGCGGAACCTAAAACAATAGATAGATTGATAACTACATAATATATCTTAATGGTTTTTTAATGATCCTGATACATTTTTTGATGTATGATATTAATGTCGTTTCAGTGTATCCCGACGGTATTCCTTGTCGATCCCGAATATTGCCGCCTTCTATCCGAAACATGCTATCCGTACAGCAGAGACCAAACGAAATTATGCTCGGCCTGTGCAGGGTATTACATATATTATTATCAATGACTTAAACTTATTTAATAGATTTTTTAAGTTATCAAAACGATGCAAGAATTAAAGTAAAACTAAATATAATATGGGAACATATCATATTACTCCAGATTAAAATCTGGTTTGTAACATATCCATTGAACGTTTCATCTGATGTAGGCTCAACTAACTCAATACAGGTTCAATGCAAAGAAGCAATAGTGAACATTCGATCCCAGTCCGGCGATATAATTGAATCCGTAAACAATACCGCTGGTGTATATTCCCTCCATCAGAACCCACAATTACAACCACCATTACCAGCAAGAAGAATCATGTACGTAGAACCAGGGGAAAGAGTCATCATTATATGCTATGGGTAATTAGTTATCACCGTACCGTACCTCTAAGAAAGCTTCCTACATATTTTCAATTAACTTTGACTCACAAATATTTTTAAATAAAAAAAAATTGATTATTAGTGTTGCTTTTTTGATATTGAATTTGAATTGAATAGACTACATTTTATTTGTCATAAATGCAATGTGCTACTGTCTTCCATGTAATCCATCTATCTACTTATATACACAATATTCTCATGCATATTGTAAATAAACTTTTTACAGTACAACTCTGCGTGACATCCCGTTTACGTGGCGTGTCGACACCCATGAGGTCAGTCCGAGGTATCTCTGGAGCGCGAGCGGAGACAGGATCCATCTTAACGCGAGAGATCATATCGTCATTAAACACGTATTATATAGCGACGCTCGTGTATATAGGTGATGGACAAAGCTGTGTTTCTTTTTTTCTAAATTAATTAATTTTCTAGTTGCAACGTACTTTGAGGGCAGACATAGTAGGTTTCTTTTCAAATTTGGTTAGGTAGAGAGAGGAGCTTGGACGGTGGAGGTGAGCGTTTGACGCATGTAAGATGGGGCCCTATAAACCTACACCTGGGTCGCAAGTCTCAGGCACTGTTGAAGCTCCTCTCTCTGCAACGCGATGGACCCGACACCACACGGTGAATCCACTGAATTGATTTATATATTTTGGATATTACACTTTAATTATACTAAAAAAATCTTTTGTTAGGTATGCAATAAATCATAAATCTTCATAATGTTTCGATCTTAATTGTATTCCAGTTGTTGGCAAGACGGTGTCCTATGTGGTGTGGTAAAACTCCGAGTTCATCGCAACACTAAGACTACCGCGAGGCTGCGTCTACGAATATTTATTTTCATTTTGATACTAGCCATTTTATTAAGACTTACCTTAAGGCTTATACGCTACAGAGTACGTTATTTAGGCATTCAGGTGCAATTATATTTATTAAAATTTTAACAATGAAAACGGATACATATTTCTTTATATATTAATAAAATTTTGGGCACATTGCAAATATGACATCGTAGATCCCTGGTCTACGTTTTGTGGCTACTTTTAGTTTGCTACGGTTTTCTGTCAATATATATTTTAATAAAGCCTCTTAAGGAATAAAGAACATTTATTAATATAAACTCATAAAGAGCAGCGTATGTGACATTTTATATAAGAACTGAAACAATATTAATAACTTTATCTGTTAGAGTCTGTAATAAGACATTAACATTTATTTTTTTATTTGTTATATAATTCATTGCATTCCTCTTCTACATACTAATGTATATAAATGTAAACATGTACCCATCTTTGTCATATAAGAATGTATTTAACAAACTCAGAACTAATAATTACTTACATAGAAGAAGACGTTTTTCATGTCTTTAAGATACGGACAAATTATCATACTAATAATTTCATTGTAAGTGAAGGTGAAGGTCTGGATTGTAAACACTCTTCCTGTACAAGCCTATTCACTTTGTCCGTGAAGGTATTCAATATGTAAATAGTAATAATCACAATAAATTGGAAGTGCTTATGAGATAGAAGATCTCCTACTTAACAATAGAGACCTTTCTTTCTTATGACTGATTTTAAAAAAGGAAATGAGTTGATTAAATCGTTGAATACCAATGTGTATGATATGAAATACCAAGAAACTGGCTCATTAGCATTATTGTTTAAAACTAGCTGATTGGCTTTAACTTCCCCATTTGCTAGATCCCTTCAACCAGATTGGTAGATAAAATAAAATGTCTAGAATGTTTAGACTGAATTAGTCTCATACTCATTATCAAATTTACTAAAAGTATGTAATAATTACAGAGAATTATCTAAACCTTTAATGGTTTAGTTTTATTATAAATCAAAATAAGTTATTTAGAATTAAATTTCATCATAATTTCTAGAGTTCTTGGAAACATTATCTAAAAAAATACTCTCTCTGTCTCTCTCTCTCTACCACATCACATTTTTCCTTAAATCTAGTTTTTGCCCTCACTGGTACTATCGAAAACAGAGAAGTAACAGTATGTGTTCTTTTTAAATCAGTAATGTATGTAACTCGGTTGACTTTGACACTTTTCTGGGCATTCTCTCATCTATCCCCGACTGTTATTATCGCTACTAGTAGACTTTGGCATCTATGTTATGTTCCTAAACCTATGCATTATATAAAATCTTATTCTAGTTATACAAAGAATTTACGTAGAAGATATCGGACTCGTGAAATTCTATTTCTACCCTAAAAACGTATAAGACTTCTAGTAACTAAATATATAAATTTTGAAAACACGACAAATTAAGATTTAATGAATTTAAGTCAAAGTAAATAAAAATTAAATATTCTGTTGTTCTGTATAACGTTTTATGCTTAATTAAAATTTTATTTTTAACTTATTCGACATGCAAATACAGGTAATTATACAATTTGAATATGGAATAGTATTATATGCGACTGTAAAGTATACGTAATGTCTCTGAAGTTTGTCGGATTTCCCTAATCTAAGTCTAAGCTAGTGCTCGTATAAACTTTGAAAAGAGGCATTAATTTTAACTCACAACTGTGCCACTTTATTAAGTTTTGTTATCTCAGAAACTTACCAAAATTATGGATTTGTTTCCAGTGAATAGATTATATGAAACCTTTTTGTATTTATTTGGCTTTAATTTTCTATAGCATTTAATAGAGGCACTTCAAAGATTGTTTAAAATAATAAGTAATTCTAATTAATTTAACACAAATTAAGCTGACCTTTACTGATTGTAATGATACCAAAATATAAATAAATCTGGGTTTTGATATTAATATAGTCTAATTGTCTAAATTTCTATATACGAAAGTTTGTATAGAACAATAGTAACCACAGAAAGGATTTAAAACCAGTACTAATTTGAGAAAAGAGAAAGCTTCAAAATTAATTCATCGACGTTTTAACAGAAATCTTTTCTACAAAAGTGGTAATTTCAACACAAAGAAAAAGATAATGCACATGTTTTATACATATAGTAGGTAGTAGTTAGATTCTTTTTTTTTGTATTTAATTGTATCGAATATTTTTTTTTATTTTATATTCTTTGTTTTGTTTGTTTCTTTAGCTATTTTAGTGTTATGCATTAGTTATATAAGTGTAAAATATAAATTGACGACACTGGTGTTCGGAAAAACTTGAATGAGTTTATGTCAACACTTTTAAATATAAAACCATGTTATACGTACATACTCTGTTTGTAATTAAATAAATAAATAAAACTTTACGGTATATCACGATAAGAACAGTCGTTGTTGGTTTTTTAATACATTAATTATTTATTAATATTTTCTACAAAAAATCCCTAAAGAAATTCTACTACAACGGCATTTAATAAAGAAAACAGATAAAGTCTTAGTTGTAAATAAAGAATCGGTAATTTTTACCTTTTTTATATAACCTCTGTGAGTAGATAAGTCACTTCTGAATATTTCTTTACAAAATTTTGGTTTTGAACTTCTTAACTCTTTATTTCTCCCACTTTGCTATTATTATACTAATCTATGTAAATGTGTTATATGAACAAAAAATAAGAAAAATCATATTTGTATTCACAAGAAAACTTCAACTCATAATTCCTTTCTTAAATACTACGTTGAAAAGAAAGGAGGTACAGTCAAATCCAATACGGTTGGATCCAAACCTATAAGTTGTACGATGAACATACTTTAATTCTCTCTTTATATAATATACATATATGCTTATCTCTAGTTCGAAAGCGAATCCAAATCATACCTTCACTCACAAAATCAAGTTCCTCGTCTCTTTCATTTTAACTTACAGAAAATATGTGGTTTTATTTAAAGATATTCTTTATCCTATTCAACCCGACTTTTCGAAATACCATATAATCACTTTTATATAGACAGTTTCAACTCGTCTGGCCGTGATCACGGCTGCTGGAAAGAAATTGAAATATCGGTATCTAGTCTAAAATAATAAAAAGACGTAATATCATCCAAAAAAAGTTGTTTCATTGAAATAAGTACTTGCCAAAATAATACAAATCATTATGCAAAAGTTTATTTTAATACAAAGGTACATCCTTTTGATATTCTTTTATGTAATTAATATTACGATTTAACTTTTATGTATTTAATATGTCTATAGATAGATAACGAAAAATAATATAAAAAAATAAGAGTATGTATATTTGAAAGTACTAAACAAAAAAATTTACTGACAGGAACTACATACAAGCGTTAAAAAAACATAAACTTCTTCATCTACTCTATATAACGATTTGATTTGACTATTGACTATATCATAAATTCACACATTTTATGTTATCGAATAAAAACAATGTTTCATTTTAGTATGCAAATTCTTATTTTATAAAAGAATCCTCACAGACAACCATTGTTTGTTATACGAAAATAAATTATTCAAGTTGAAAATTTCAAAAGAAAGAACGATTGGATTCGAATAATTATCAAAGCATCGTCGGAATTGTTATATAACATTGAAGCAATTGAAACTACACTACAGTTTTATTTGAATAAAAGTTAAATAAAGGAACTAATTAACGCTGTTCAAGAGATGTTGTAGACGAATGAATTTGTTTTTATTGATGCTTGCATGTATTGGATGACTTAATTAAATCATAAAACTTTAAATGATAAAAAATGTCTTTAAAAAAGTAATGTTTTTGAAGATTATTGTAACATTCATCAATTCGTTTGGACTGCATCAATATTAAATCTAAGAATATAAGTTTTTAAGTATTATCATTCATAAAAAAAAATTGTTGGCCTCCAAAATATGCATTTCTAATAACCCTCACTTAGAGATGACTTAGACGTGTAAATCGTCTTCATCGGCCTCTCAGAACCCACTGCTGAGCAAAGGCCTCTTTCTCACATGGAGAAGGTTTGAGAATTAATCACCACGCTTGCTTAAGACGAGTTGGTGATTTCAAACTTATAATTGTGAAATTATAAGTCAGGGTTTCCTCATGATGTTTTCCTTCACCGTATTTCAATGTTGTCTAAATACTCTTAGAAAGTACATATGACTTGGAAAAATCACATTGGTACTTGCCAGGATAGAACCCGATCCCTCGTGCACGAGAGGCGGACCCTTTTAACCACTAGGCCACTACTGACTCTTGACTGACTGACTTCATCAAATAAGTAATGATATATTTGACTTAGCATCAAAAACTGCTGTTACGATTAAAACATTCAATGATACGGCAAAAATTGTACAAAAATATTATTTTATAAAGGATTACCTATACAAATTTAAATTGAAGTGGCTTTTTCAAATTAATGCAATAATTATAGGTACAAAAGTAAGGGTTGGTTTTATAAAACCACGATGAACGTATAACATTTATCAAATAGTAGTTATTTAAACAAAATCACTTCA